TCTGTCTTCGGTTTCAAGAAATTCTGTTACCATTGTCTTCTAAAATATTTATATATATAGCCTATAAATAATCAAACGTTAGATCAGTGGCAATTCTAGCGTATTGTGTCTCTCAATATTATTCTTCCTCTACTTATTAACTCGATTTATTGTATACGTTTCCGATGTACATATATATCCTTGCTTCATTTCGACAATTAATACTGCAAAGATGGATATTGGCTTGCCGTGGAATTCAGGACGCACGTTTCGTCCTATTTAGGACTCGTCGGCTGGATGTACCTGCATCTCAGCGTTGATGTTCACTTTCGCTGATGAGTCCCAAATAGAACGAAACGCGCATCCTGGATTCCACTGCCAGCCACTATCTATCTTTGCTTACAATGCTTGTGAATTAGGGCTATATCGAGGCAATACGCACATATGCACATATGCCAACTAGAGACTGACCAGTTGCAGTCCTAATCATCAATGGGAAGATTCAAACAAGTAATACTAAGTGAATTTAATTAACACTGCAGTTTTACGGTGTAAACAACTCAGGAGAATCCTCCCTTTCTTTATTCTTATTTCCATCGTTTTGTAGTTTAGTTCAGTCTGTGTTTTCATTACTCCTTATATCAGTCAGTACAATACACTTAAAAACTTTTAGTTTGTATTACCGATTTCAGTACCATTCACATGTCAGACAATTTAACCATAAACATCTTACTTTCTAAAAGAAATATGGATGAAATTCACACATCAAGTTTCAAATGGAACTATTATATCGATTTCCGCTTAAAGTTTATCACCCTAAATGATAAATATGATCTGGCGATCTTATCGTCTAATAATTTCGGCGAGACTAAAATTTATGGACGACCTTTGAACGAACCTTAAATGACCTTGAGAAATGTTAGCTAATCAGTAAACAGTCAGTACAGAGTAAAAATTTATTATACAAAACCAAATAACTGAGGTGGATACACTTCTTTTATATGGTCTTTTATATGGTCGTCAAGGTTAGGAATAGGTTCAAGGGTTCCAAAATCGTAATGCATAAGGTAAAGGACCTCCTCCATATCGCTCCATAATAGTTGGTCTCTGGAGCTATGATAAGGTCGGAAAAACCCTCTCAGCCTCCACCACATAGCTTCATTATTGTTTTTGTGCACTCCCGTTGTGTAAGTTTATTGTTTTTATTGTGGATATGTTCCTACACTACTCATACCACTGAACAGCCGAAGCTTCAGTAACATCTGCGATTATTACAGCCAATGTTACTGGTGCTTTTATTATGCAGTCGGTGGCAATTATTATAATATGCCCTAGTTGCAATCTGGATCGAGCGATAAGGGTTCCTATCGTAGGAAACGTCTTCCTTCAACATATATTACATCGAAGGACAACATCACAGTAGTCTGCACACGGGCTAAAAGTCATTTAATTGCCACAATTACAAATACAAGAACTTCTTAGTAGTTTTATTTATTTCAGCCGCTTAATTGTCACATTTTCTTTAAAATCCTTTGTGAACCGATTGTATGACAATAATAATAATATTGCTTACATCTGCTGGGATCATCGGGTAAGTAATAGTGAGGTTGGACACCAGGATATTAAGGGAATGATGGTAAAGCAGTTGATGAGGTCATGAATCTCCATCGACTGAGATGGTTGGCTTTCGCCAACTTACGTCACCTATGGTGAAGACGAGATATCCGTCTATCAATTAAAGGACGAATATACTGAGCATCAGTTCGCTCTGCTCTACTTTACGGCTGTGAAACATAGCAATTAAGGGTAGAAGATACTCGTAAGCTACTAGTATTTGACCACAAATGCCTTAGAAATATTGCTCGCATCTGCTGGTATCACCGGGTAAGTAATAGTGAGGTTAGACACAGGGTATTAGGAAACGATGGTAAATCAGTTGATGAGGTCATGAATCTCCATCGACTGAGATGGTTGGCTTTCGCCAACTTACGTCACCTATGGTAAAGACGAGATATCCGTCTATCAATTAAAGGACGAATATACTGAGCATCAGTTGGCTCTGCTCTACTTTACGGCTGTGAAACATAGCAATTAAGGGTAGAAGATACTTGTAAGCTACTAGTATTTGACCAGAGATGCCTTAGAAATATTGCTCGCATCTGCTGGTATCACCGGGTAAGTAATAGTGAGGTTAGACACAGGGTATTAGGAAACGATGGTAAATCAGTTGATGAGGTCATGAATCTTCATCGACGGAGATGGTTAGGCCACGTGTTGCGTATGCCTGAACACCGATTACCACAACGCGCTATGCTGACTAGAATTGGGGATGGTTGGAAAAGAGTTCGGGGTGGCCAAACCAAAACGTGGCATCAGTGCTTGAAGACACTGAACTCTAGTCTGAGCCATGTAGGTAGATGCAGACTACCTGGTTGGAGTCCGAGTGACCATCGTAACTAATGGTTGGAGACTCTAGGTGAAATGGCTCAAAATCGATCACAATGACGTAGGTGTATATACTGTTCATCTTCCCCTAAACCTTGAGATTAAAAAGACTTCATATCTGTATTTCTTCCTGTATTAAATCCTTATATACAATCTTTCTTTTGTATATTACCACCACTAAATTAACTACTTCTATAAATCCGGTGTTCGTGATGTTGTATCACTGAGGTATGACAACTTGGACCGATTCATATATGCGCCTGGTCCTACGTCGTAGATGACTGACATTCTGATAAAAGTGTTGCTTGTACTGAAATTTGTAATATCTGGTTAATATCTGCTTCCCACACATACAGTGACAATGACATGATCTTCGTTTCTGAACTTCGGTTTTGCTCTCAGTCTTAATATACAATCGGCTTAACTGAAGTTTATCGTGGATTTATACTGCATTTTACAATCATAAGCACGGAACAGTCCAGTAGAGTAGTCGGCACATAGGTCGTTGGTCCCATCGGCTTTTTAACTGCAACAACAGATGTCCATGGTGAGAAAGTAGTTCGTTGTATATCTACGAGTTTTTCTAACCACTCGAGTTCTTTATGAACTTTATCAGTGGAGGCGTATGACATTTTTCATTCAGGACGGAATACTGGTTTCACTCTCAGTAGTAAAACAACCCAACGTGTTCTGAGATACACTTGAATGTTTCTCAGAAAGATCCGCCGCTCTAAAAACTTTAGCTTTGAATGTTACAGTTTGCACAGATGAGTTAATATCAATGTAGGAGTCGTTTAATGTACATACCGTGTTCAAATAGGTATTTGAGATAGTGGAGTAGATTTGTAGCTTAGGTGAATGCTTTTGATGGAGTTTTGCCCTCTGAGCTGGATGGTTTGTCAGTTTGTACACTTTTCCACAAATAAGTATGATATCGGATTCTATGTCTAGTTGTAGACAAATATGAACGTCATTCAGTAATAAATCAAGGTGACTTCTATTGTTAGTTAAATTGCATGTAAATGTTGAATATGTACATTGCAAATCTACTTCCTGTGACACCAGGAAGACTTCACCCGTGATTTGGATTTTAAATCTAACCTTGTAAATTAAACTATAATCTCTTTATGACCGACTTTACACCAACCATTTGATCAATGATTTATACAACGAGAAGTTTTGGCGAGATGTTATTCACCACAAAACCAGAATCTTGTAAAAGGTTTCTTTAATTGCGCTTGGCGTTGTTGTCTGACAGTAACATTATTTTGTCTGCACAATTTGACAGAACGAATAATAAAGTTTATTGAGATTTCTCCTCTAGTTTCAATCATTGCAGTGTCATATTTTAAGTTTACCAGGCGTTGACACTTTGTAGCAATCATCTTTAATATCATTTCATTATCTTCAAAGCAGAATAGTAATCGTGTTTACACTTTGGCATCTGTGGGTAGTTGTAGTCTAGAAACAAATGATGTAGTTTTAAACTGGTCATTTGATAATCCATTTAATTTAAAGCGTTGAGCTTGTGGATTATTCCTGCTTACGTACGTCGGATAATCTTCACCAACATGCTTGGTTAACTGGAGGCATTTGAAACGAACATAGAATGATGACTCTTGTTCAAAATATCAACGGTTTCATCAAAATTCAACTGCCTTGGGTGATTTGACAGTATATGATTTCTTATATTTGTTGCATTGCTGTAGGTCAAGTTTTGTGTCAGCAGTCTTACTTTTGAAACTCGTCCTGTAGCTCCTCTGGAGTTACTGGCTTACCTTTGAACCATGACAGTGGATACGGACGGTTTATTATTCAAAGGAATGTAAATAAACTATGCAGTCCCGAAGAAATAAATATTGCAGGAACTCAATCTAGTTATTAGCTACCAGGGAATTGTATTCCCTGTTGCTTTTGCGTTGTCTGACCAACTGAACTTTCATGTTAAAGGTCCACGAGATTGTCAGTGGTAGGAAAACGTCTGATCTCAGCTGTATAACAACATGCACGCCAATCATGATGTTATAGGATGAAAAAATGATCTGAAACCTTGATCACCTTTTATTAAGCGACAAGAGCCAGTCAGTCAATTACAACGTAGAACTTCAAAAGTACGTACATCAGTTTGAGTCGTCATACCACATTAACACAGAGATGCAGTTGTCGATTTAAATCCCATAGTGGTCGAAGTAGTAAGAGTATAAGCAGTAATCGGAAAGATTAGGGTTTGAAGATGTTATCCAATGAGTATATTGTAGTGAAATAAATTTGGAAAGTGAAAAAAAGATAGAGACATGAAGAATTGAGAAGATAAGAATTTGGCAGAACACAAAGAGTAAATGCCCCTACTCCATCGCTTTATCAAGTGACAAGAATAAACTGATAATTGCAATGTTTTGGTTGAATAGTTGAACGATTTACGAATTTCAGATCAGTTCAGTGAACCAAACTATCAATTGAACAGTACTATTCAATCAAGTTTTATTTACCCTAATCGTTGCATGTAATATCGTTATAAATTGTTGAATAATGTATATTATCTGATAACTTTCATATTTATTCTTTTCTCACTCCCTATGGGAAAAGGTAACACTCAGTTCATTGAATGATCAAATCCGAATTGGTTCAGATGGTATTCATTTATTCATGAATCAGTTAGAAATTTATCTAAAGAAGCTTATTTAGCTGCATCAACTAATTTAAAATTACGTAAAGACAATTTGAAATTATCCAATAATGGAAGTGAAAATAATAATGAATATGCCAATAATGACAGTAACCATGATGATGATGATGATGATGATGATGATGATGATGATTATGAGGAGGAGAAGAAGGAGGAGAAGGAGGAGGAAGAGGAGGGTACAGTAGTTGTAAATGAAAATGATTTTGGTAAGTGTAAATATTTGTAAACAAAAAAGTAACACTCACTATTTTAAGATATTCATTTTTTATAATATTTCAATTCTTTTGCTCTGCATCCTTGTGATCCATATCAGTTGCCCGTTTACTTATTATTGCGATAGTTTACTATGTACTGTATTATGACTATGAAATATGCCATTTGAAGGTGGAGAACACCAATAGGTTGTAACGTTTTGAATGTTGTATAGATGTCTTTGAGTAATCACTTTCGGAGTAGCGAAACACACGAGGTTGAGGTTAGGTTTATGGTAATGGGCAAATTGATCTTCAGTTTATAACGAATAAGAGTCATGCAGTACATAATATAAGTTTACTGAGTTTTACCAATTATTAGGACATAACGAAAACGACGACGATTCACTATATGAGATTAACGTGACAACAATTCAGATATTTGAAAGTAGCCTTATTAGTTTATTTTATATTTTATTTGAACACATACATATTGGTACAAAAGCATCGTATATAAATGCGCCACACAGTTGTGTGAGGTCTATGATATTGTCCGGGTGCCCAAAATGAAGCAGGTGGTTTTCTTAGGAAGCCACACCCAGAGCCTTTCACCTGAAGGTATGATCAAGCAGACAGTGGGGCATCGTGAGGAAGTGCTTTCCAATGGTAGCCGGTGACCAACGATTAGTTCATACACTATTTGTTCCCTCAGGATACTGGAGCCCATGTGCACCATTGGTTTGGAATCAGGGTTTACTAACTCCTCTAGATGGACTTATAAGGTCAAAACTAGGTTTGGCTGAAGAATAACTGTCTGGTAAGTGAAGAAACGCGTGTCTGCCAATCGAAGTCAGAACAAGGTGATTGGGGTAACAACGGTTCTAAATTCTATCATATATACAAATATATGACTTCACCTAAACAAATATTACCACACAGTTATTCAATCAATAATTGTTGCCACAATAATCAATCTAAATAACAATAAATAGATAAATTGATAAGAAATATAAGAGAATTGCTGAAAGCACCAAAAATAAGTATTATTCTATCCTTCTTGGATAAATCAAGTGTTTCCGATTCTGGGAATGTGCTTCAATTCACAACCGAAATGTACGATCCCGGTTAAATCGAGCCACAAAAATAAAAGAGAGAACGATCAATATGGCTGCCGCCAAGATACAATAAACTCAGTGAGAGCGAAAGAGAAAATGCTAAAATTGTTATGAAATGAAACATTACAATCTCAAATGGCATCAAAAAGATCAACAATAATGAACAACTAGGGAAACCATTAAGAACAATTTGCAAATGAATGCGTAGAGAAGTTTTCACACACGAAACCTTCAAATGGATCTCATGGGACTCAATATGTGAACCTTGTTAAAAAATCCTACATAACAAAAAACTTTGAGTATTTATTCTTAAATCCACACGACATGTCTGTTCTTAAAAGAATGTGATTATCAGTATGAATGAATCGTACTTGAATATTGCTGAGATTTAAGAAGAGTTTCAATCCCGACATTTTATTATTGTAGTGTATTAAGATGTGCTCACATGTAGTAGATCGATTCCATTTCCGGCGGTAGATTCAAAAAACTATTAGTATTTAAGATCGCGAATGACCACATATTCTTCTCTCTATTTCATGATGCCAAATAAAAGTCAGATGATAAGTTTTGTTGAGTGATGGACGCTCTGTTAGAAATATTACTTCTCTGTGACCTCTTTGACTGTGATTTCACACTGAATCTGACCAGCAATATTTAGAATTCCTCCTGATGCACCATGAGCTGATTGATGAGTTGACTATATATCCTTGGTCTCCCAATTTTCTCCTACGTCCTCCTGCTTATAGGTGTAATATCGGAGGTTGTGTCTAGCTGTAAGCGGGCACCATACCCATTAATGTTGAGGGAAACATAATTCCTACGATTATGGGAGCCAATTCTGTTAACAGCTACCGTCACTTTGACTGTACGTGGCTTGAATCTTCTAGAATAAACTTTAGTTATAATCAAACGCTGATTAGATAAAATGCTTCCTAATGTTTCTTTGAGCTTGTCATGTCTATTGTAAGAAATTTGTAGGATCATCCCAACAGCAAGTATAAAAACAATTGATTATTTCTTGTTTCATTTCAGGTTCACGTTTATTGGTCCCCATAATATGTGCTACAATCTTAATGATTGCATTAATCTGTATCTTCATTATATGTTGTTATTCATAAAGAAAACGTCGTCAACTCCTTATGAAATATGCAACAACAACAACAATAGCGCCTAATAATGCACATCCTCACATTTAATTCGAAATTTATCATACAGTAATAATCATTCAATGAATGTAACTAATCCAATTAATATAACATCGATTCATCAAAATTACCCTTCATATCATCCACAATTCATATGTGAATCAACATTACTGTCGAAAAGATTTTTATCACCACAATTTCATCATAATCTAAATGGAAGGAGAGTATTAGCTTATAATGATAATGATAATATCACCAGTAATATTCCACAAGGAGTCTGTACAGTCAATACAAATCAAGTAAATATGAATCAATACAGTGGACCAGTTATGATTTAAGTAGTATATATGAAATTAATAAAAGATATGATATTGATATTCTACAACTATTATTGAAAGAAAAGAAATTGATAGAAGAACATTCATCTAAATTAGATGGAATAGTTTCACACTATTACAGTGACGAATTGATGAAAGACATCAAATAAGAAGGAGAAGAATGTATTTGTAAAATCTTAACGACGACTGAATTTGAAGTAATTCCAAGGAACAAGCATTGATCAGATTGCTAGGGCGAAAAGTTGAAGTCACTTCAGATTCATTCGTTGAGATTTTACAAATATATTCTTCTTTTTCATAGTTGAAAGCATGAATCAATTGAAGCTAGATCATCGAGGAAAACCTTGGAAGCACTGAACGACCGTTTTGTATCATATGGGACTCCTCAGTAGTGCACATCCAATATTTCGCCTCGCGAGATTCAAACCCACAATAGGACGAAACGGCCGTTCAATGCTTACAGGTTTTCCTTAGTGGTCTAGCTTCAATTGACTCATGCTTTCAACTATGAAAATAATCAATTTCCACAAAACCCCTTCTGATTGTTCTTCACATTGAAAAGAAATTTAGTTTTTGAACTGTAAATATTTTTCATAGAAATTTATTATAATTAAAACGACATTCGAGAATAGGCCTAACAAGAGATTGAAGATTATTTAGCCGGTTCAATTTTGAAAATTTCATTATGAACTGCTACTTAGGCAAGCAACTTTCAACCACTCGATCGACAGTTCAAACTCATCATCCTTTAGACGATAAAAACAGAATACTTGAAAGATGCAGACTGCATCAATTGGTACTTTGTAATTTCTCTGAGTTATATTACTGAGCTAAGTAATCACAGCAATGTAATCACTTGAATAACAAGTATTCACTTTTTGGTACATCGAAAGTAGATTCAGATTTCAATTGGTTAAAGTAATACAAGTTTCCGGTACTCCGACTAATCTCTACAGTCCAGTTATCTGTAAGCAAACGAAAACTAATGAAAATGTGAAGTTTCATTAATAATTGAACAATAACTAAACAAAACATGACGATGCTACTACTTAGATCGTGAATAAAGTCTCTAGATGTATAACATAAAACGATCCATAAAACGAACCATTTGATTGGAAGAGTGGAGACTCTTTCCATCATCAATCGAATCAGAGGTGTAGAGGACAAAGTCTAAGTATTTCGGAGCTGGGATACTTCAAAATCAAGAAACTTATTTAAGTTTCTTATCTTTACGTCACACCTCAAGTGTGAACAGCAACGATAAACACCTGGCTAATCAAATATATTTAACATAATTGTCGAAAATCTGACGCTGTAACCGGTACGTTAATGTGGTATATGAAGTTACTTAGGCAAGCAACTTTTAACCACTCGATCGACAGTTCAAAACCATCATCCTTTAGACGATAAAAATAGAATACTTGAAAGATGCAGACTGTATCAATTGTTCACTTTTCGGTACATCGAAAGTAGATTCAGATTTCAAACGGTTAAAGTAATACAAGTTTCCGGTACTCCGACTAATCTCTACAGTCCAATTATCTGTAAGCAAACGAAAACTAATGAAAATGTGAAGTTTCATTAATAATTGAACAATAACTAAACAAAACATGACGATGCTACTACTTAGATCGTGAATAAAGTCACTTAATATAAAACATAAAACGATCCCAGTTCAGGATGAAGCATAATCCTTTATAAATACTTTAGAACGACGAATATTTTTAGTTGACATTTCACTACTATATATTTGTGTGATCTATCGAGAGCAAATGAGTAACATAAAAGGCAGTATTTATCCATAACTATTCATCGGTATCTTAGGAAAACAACTCGAGTGTGGAAAAACAATCGACATTCTTTCCTATCATTGAATTCAGTCAGTCAATCACAATGGCTCAAAATGTCTTACTCCATTAGCACAAATTCATGATGTTGTTAGGCCAAGTCTCATGATATTTGAGGTAGTAACAGTATCATTGCTAATAGGAAAGACTACGCATTGAAGATACCACTCAAAAATAAAGTATAAATTAGTGAAACAAAAACACAGAAAACGTTGTAGAAGATTTTGAAGCTCAGGTTGCTTGAAAATAAAAGGTAACTGAAGTGTGTTCAAAGGCCAATTGAACTGTCCATTAAAGTAGGTATCATTACCAAGGTTTCACTTGATAATTTAAAACAAATTGAGTAGATTATTGTAAGTAATATATTTGTGATATCTCAATCCGTAGAAACATCAGATTTCCTGACATTTCGTGACTCAGTGTAAGCCACTTATTCAGACGACAAATAATCAATAATCAAAATTAACCCATTGAAATAGTACAGAGGAACAAAGCAAGAATATTAGATGCCTTGTTCATTTCTACTATTTAAACAGGATAATTTGAATTTTGTTATTTATTCTCTGAAGAATTGGTTTACACTGAGTCACGAAACGTCAGCAAGTCTAATTGTTCTACTCATTAGGATATTACAAATATTATTTGCTCCCTACAGTGTTCTGTCGGTCCGTTCAATTTCCTGGTTTGAAAGTAAATAATGGTCCTGCTCGAACTAGAGCATGATCCGAGTGTAAATATGTGCTTCAGGACGAGTGACAGTTTTCAATAGACCGCCTCCAATAATCAATGAACGATCTTGTATGTGCGTTTGATGGCGCGGGATTACAGAATCCTAGTTAAGGAAGCCTGTTGTCATATCTGATACCAGATTCGAACACTATAAGCTCCAACATGTAGTTTAGAGCGTGGTTTCAGGAGACCGAATATAACATTTCGTGAACTCAAATAATGAGCATCGGTAGCGTGTGATGATAAAGATAAATGTGAAAAGTTAGTCGTGGAGGTGGAAGAATTGTTGAGACGTGAGGCAGGGTTTCGATCGTCAACAAGATAATCTTTGGTGCTCATAATGGTATGTGGGCCGTTTTCACTTCTCGATAGCTGTGTAATTGCTGGTGGTGGAGTGAGTGATGAGATCAATTCACGCATATTGAAAGCCATAGAGACTTGGGACATCTTTGGCATGTTTGTGGTGTTGGGCAGACTGTAAAAGATCGGATCTTCAACGCGTTGGTGAGTGCAGTTTTTTACTCTGTGTTTTTGAAACATGGACTATCCGAGTTCAGTATGTTAGACGACAATATGTGTTTGATCATCGTTGTTTTCAAAAGATCGCTGACGTCCAGCGACAACATCATTTTAGTAGTGCAGAAGTTCGGCACCTTGTATTCTGGCGCAGCGACGATAATTCAGTTAGTATCACTATCTCAAAATATTGAATTCGTTGGCTTGGGCTTGTCCTAGGAATGTCGTTTCTGAGAACCCCAAGTTGTGCATTATTTGCTGACTCTGGGACTAATTGGAAAAAGCGGAGAGATTTTCAGTTTAGGACATTCTTTCATGGTGTGAAGGGAAGCTGCATATGATTAGACTATCTTCGTCCATCACGACTGCTGATTAGAGCCCTAGAGATATTGTGGCATGGTGCTAGAGATGTTGTTAGATATAACTAGGAAAAGAAATCAGTAATGATCGTACTCCAACATTCATTTCTATGAAGAAAATAAACATAGCTTCTCTAACTGAAAGAACTCTTTCTGGTTGTCGTTTCGCTAACTGAACTGCCTGTCCCATTATTGTTATTTAGCACTCACACACAAATTTCTGTTCGTTGTTGTTCTCCTTTATTGTACACACATGTCACATTCTCTATCTCTTCAGAGGTACAATGTGAAGCATATGATACCATAAATATCTACATAAATATTAAGTAAGTATTCATTAAGTCCATTTCTGTTCCACAGGAGGTATGTGGTGTTGGCTACTTCTATCCACAAAATTAGTATATGGCGATTGTTGTGCATTGAATGCATTTCAGTAGAAGATCGATAGGGAGAGAACGGAAACGGCACGCAATTGGTATGTAAATGCATGAACAATGAAACCACAGACTATAGGCTGATATTTGCTGAAGCATAGTAAGGATTTAGACAATTGATTGGTTGATTGCGAATGGACTGCCTACTGTATGAATGTCAGATTTGAGTGAGATATTCTGTATTTTGTCTCCAAATACATTCGATTGTCCACACTTCTGTTGTTGTTCACTACAGGTCAACCCCTGTCAAGATTAGCTCTGAATGTGGTACTCGGAAAAGTGTATTTAGTTGTAAACCCCGAAGTTGTCTTATCAAAAGTTTTCAAAACCCGAGAAAACTTTAGAAATACTTCGTCCAACCAGTGTTGGAACGGAACCTCTCAGTGAGATCTGGAAAAATATATGATTATGTGTCATACATTAATTAAATAAATGGCAATTAATTCACTCCTCTCAGTATGTTTGCAGAACATGCAGAATAACAAACGTACCCGAAAACACTCAAATAATCTTGTTTTTGGTAAATAAGTAAACTGCGAAATAAGTTTTGTCTTCATACCACCTACTTTCATTCTTGATCTCAGAAATACCATGAAGAACTACCATGAGCATCATGTTTCAGTTTCACAGTGAATATCAGATGTCTGGAGATGTAAGACGCATTTTCTGATGAATCTCAGCTTACATGAAACACAATCTCCCCTCAAAATGATTCTATCCACGTAGAACCAGAAAATGCACAATTTGTTGATTAGTCACATAGTAAGTTGGTTGATAAGAGTCAGTTAGTATTGAGGTGTAGACAAATTATTGAGACAAATGATTACAAACCTTGATATTATCATTATTCTTATTATTCTGATAGAATTTGTTAGGACGTGCTCTTTCAGTGTTCATCATCTTTCTGGCACACAAACTCACATATTTTAGAGCAGAATTGTTTCATAGATGAAATAATTACGTGAAAGAGAGAAAGAAACAATGTGAAACTGTGAAAGTATTTTCTTTTAAAAAATTAGTCTTCTCACCATAATCGCAGGAAGAGTGGCGAAGTTGAATGGTGTTAAGTAAAAGTGAAAGCATATGTAACGCAGTACTTGGATTTATTTTTAGTG